GCAAATAATAATCATAAAATAGGTAAGTGCTATGCATGCACCAATTATGTCAGTCTGATTTTGAGAACTATGACAAAATCATTAATGAGAGCAATCATCAAGCATGGCAATGCAAGACGCAGGACCAACTGACTCGAGCAATGACAAAGTCAAATAAATGAGGGAAGAATGAAAACTCATAGTAATCTCAGGAAGTACATATGGATGAGAGCATGACCAGCACCAATCAAGAGTCCTCACTCATCCCTCTAAACTTCACACTCAATCTCTCATTTTGTTGTCTGTCGCTTGGGCTTCTTGCCATGCCTCCATACTCTCTGAGGTCTGGGCCTCTGAATGTAAAGCCCCCTGAAGCCTGCTAGTTCCGAATATTTCCATCCAAGTCCCATGATACGGAAGTCAACCATGGCACAAAACTCCTCCCATAGAGTGGGGAGATAAGGCTGAGAGAAAATGCCCCTCCTGAGATGTGGAAACCCGGAGGGCTCAGTCACTGCCCCGTAGTCGATCACTGCAGGCGATATGTATCTCTTTGCTAGATCCACAAGGTCACCCCAGCATGATCCGTCAGTGAAGTAGTAAGGAACCGGAGTTTTGGGGTAGTCAGCAAAAAGTTTGGGGCCAAAGCTATAGATTAGCTTAGAGTCCCCTTTGAGTATCTCAGCTTTCCATTGTACAAACCTTGTTGCTGCCACCCAAACAGCATCAAAGTGTGAATTTGCCTCATTCCTTTTTTTCAGATATATTCGCAGATCCTTGACTGTACCTCATGCAAATTCTGTAAGAACGACGAAGATTGACAGATCTTCGTGCTTGAAGCCGTCGATCTTGACATGACTGTATGGGAAACTTTCCTTTTAGGCTACCTGATTGAAACATTCGAGGACAGACTGCTCGACTGAAATGGGGTTGATTTCTCGCATGGGCTTAATCGGATAGATACTTCCTGCTAGAAGGAACGAAAATGGATTTTGACTGATGAGTGTCTGCTGCTGTTTGAACTGATTGTTACTTGCTGAAAGATGTCTGCTGCTGTTTGAATTGACTATTTCTTGCTGAAGAATGACAAGTGTTACTAGGCGGACAAACTCTTAGTTGCCACTTGAACTCTGCCTAAGGGTTGCCTGATAGTCCCCACTTTGCTAGTTTGTCTTTTCTGTATTGTGTGATCTACTTACAAAGTATCTCTCTTCCTTAAGTCTCACCGTTGGCTGCTAAAGGCTCCTCGATCTCGGTCCACTGTTACAGCGAAAGAGAACGTACTGTGCAACTCAATCGCTGGCTGAGTGTTGATCAAGCATTGTTTGAATACTGGCTGCAAGTTGATTGAGTGCTAGTTAATTGCTGATTTTCCGTTTTCTGACCACTTGGGACCTATATGACACCCGCAGCTGCAGCCGCAGGCATTTCCGCCGCTGTGGCCGAAAATCCCGGCCGCGGCCGCGGCCAACGAGGCCCGGTCCGCGGCCTGGTTTTTTAAATTTTTTTTTTTACCCTTAAAAATACTCAAAAAAAAACAAACAAAATATGCGGGTGTAGGGCTTCGAAAACCCTACACCCTTATATTTTTTGTTTTGGAATCCGACGTTGTTTAGGATTTTTTAAAAATTAAAAACAGAAATCGATTTAAACATAATTAAAATATATACATATATAAAGAAAAGTTGGATTTTTTTTTTGAAATTTTTTATTATGAGATATATGGTCACTGAGTACCCAATATTTTTTTTAGAATTGGATTTGTTTTTTTTGAAGGGAAATGAGGTGTTTTAGAAAAAACAAAGATGCAAAATTTAAAAATAAATAAACAAAAAACTTTAAAAAATAGTTTTGATTGACGGATTGATTGATTGATTGATTGTGAGAGTAAATGAGTGAGTGAGTGAGTGAATGAGTGAGTGTGTGTGTGTGTGTGTGTGTGTGTGTGTGTGTGTGTGTGTGTGTGTGTTTGTGTGTGTGTGTAATGTGTGTGTGTGTGCGCACGCGTTTGTGTGTGTGTACTCGATGAATTTATGATGACTTTCTGTTCTCCCCACCGCAACCTTTCTCAGCAGTATCCTGTACTTTTCAATCTCACTCAAAATCTTATCCTTCCAACCTTCTGTTTCTGCTTGATATAGAGAGCATGTCATGGCCAGGGTATCCCTGCTTCCCATGTCTTTTCCTCTACCCTCTCCTTCCCTTCTGCGTTATTATTCAAATCTTCAAATCTTATTCACTCAGCCGCGTTCTGAAAAGAGATTGCTTCTCTGGCGAATCACCCAGTGATGACCGAGCAAGGGTGCCACTTGAATAGAAACGATTTAGGCTTCAGACACCCGATGCTCTCAACTGTCCAATAATACTCTGTTTCGAGTATTGCTGACCATCTGAAATCTAGCGAGTGGTTTAAAAGAGAAGAATAGGAGGTGATGACCAGGTATTGTTTTGCTAGCGAGTTTACTTAAGGCGCCTCATAGGGAAGGGAAATAGTTGTCATCTTTTGCCTGTGTTAGCCCTGAACTGCTCATTAGTCCCTAGTATTACGAGGAACGATGTCACGACAATCAACTTTCATGCTGAACGAGGCAGATGGGTCACTGTCTGCACACATCACTAGGCACTGTATCCTCCGTGGCCATACCAGCGCGCATGAACTGTAGGTCAGGAACATTTTTATCACAACATTCTAGGTATCATAACCGCCCTCGTCACTGACCCTGAGTGATTCCAAACACAGGCTAAAGTTGAGTTCAGTTGTATTTTAATCCTTTTGCATCGTTCACCTCCTTGCGTAACACGGGCTTATTGACCAGCTGGCAAGAGCTCCCTAGACAGGCATGAACAACCTTGCCTCAGTATTGGAGCTCACCGAATCTGGCCAATGAAGGCACGTATTAGCAATTTCCATCAATCATGGTCAACAGTCGAACCACCAAGTAATGTAGTGCTCGCTGATGGTGCCAGCCCGCTCAAGGCGTTTAAATTAATACACTGGAGCGGCCTCGAGGCTGCATGACGCACAACGCTTCTAATCTCCGTTCTTGCCTGTAAGGGTATTAATTTTGTAGAGAGTTGTTCAGGCTTCACACATACTTAGCATAAATGGCACTTTCCTCATCCGCCATCGTTCTATCCAGAAATAGAAAGAGACGATTCACGACTTCTGAAGTTCGCTGGGGCTAATTAAGCTAAGGATGCTCATAAAGATCCTCTTACCCCAACAGAATAGCCGAATACCCCCTTAGTGACTAAATTCTGAGCAAGCAAGGGTTTTTACCCATCTCAAGCCGCTTCACTTCCATTAACAGATCACCCCAAGCGAGGACTAAAACCCAGGCCCATTCATACTAAGGAAGACTATTATTCTTTATTTTAATAGTCAATGTCTTATCACTCTAAATGTTTAGTGTCCGTAGAGCAAGAACTTAGCAAGAATGTATGCTATCTTCCTTTGAACAACGTTCCTCCTTCCCATCAGATAGGCTAGCCAAACCGACCCGTGCTTTAGAGAACGTACCGTGGCAGGGAAGGGGCATGCCTGCCACTCGTTCGACCAGATCGAGTTTGTAATGTTCCTCGCTCTCCAAATAGAAGAGTGCCAAGGTCATTACCAGGACTTTTTAGACTTTTTACAGAAACAACGAGGCTGAGGGGAAACGGAAAAACGAGGGGTCCTTGGTCAGATAAATACATGTTGATTCAAGTGATCATGGAGGAGTCAAGAAGATTTATTACAATAAAAGATTCATAGGCGAATGAGTCCGTCTTATCTGTGCGAGCAATCTTCCGCTTCCCCTCCAGCGGTCTGTCAGTCCATGCCAATATTACTACCAATTCTCATAGCACTCGCGTCAGCCCCGGGTGACTTATCATTTACCGAAGAGGCGATCTACATGGCCTCGAATTATCCCTGTCTGGAGGGAGTAGGTACTCCAAAAAAACTGCAAGTGATCAATGTTAACAACTGATAACGGAAGAGGCAATTCATCCACGAGACGTGGGGATTCGATTGTCCCCCGTTAGTGTCTGCTTGAGTCGTAGTTCGACTCAAGCGCGAACTGGATAGAACAACAGCTCAGAAGCAGTCTCAACCTATTTATACTTGTCAATGTCACTTTCCATCAATGTTTAGATCACACAGGAGAGTTCTCCTAGTTTCGAGCAAGTTGAGCATCATGATGCACTTCCAAAAGCAAGAAGTAACCGTCAGTTCGACACACTTGCTCAGGGAATGCCCCTCCTCGTTCCTCTCCCTCCTGGTAGTAACCATCCTTCGCTCAGTCCCGTCGCTCGATGACCTTTCAAGTCTTCTTGCGTGTATCACTCACTCTCCTTCGCTCACTACATGCAAGCTGATTCGCGTTACGCCTTGAAGGCGAGCGTGATGTCAACCAGAGCCTTTTTTTATTGCACTTCTTTAGACAACACCCTTCATCGACATCCAGCCTTACGTCCAGCCCCCATCACTTCTGTGCTCAAGCTTCGAGTTTTTTGTCTACTATCTCCGCACCAAAGATAAATGACTATAGCCCGCCTCCCGAAGAGTGGCAGGACGACTTGGCAATGCCATCAACAAACAATTCTCTGTTACCGCACCGATCACATGCTCGAGGTACTCCTTAAAGAAAGGGAGATGGTGCAACCTTCGCAGAGCTGATCCCAAGCTCCTGGTCGAGTGAAGTTGACGTCTCCCATAGCTCACCATCCCCTAAGTACTTCCTTCTCTAAACACTTACTTCCCCTTTATTTCTCCGTCACCTTTTCTCTCAATTACTACTGTTCATGTATCTCACTCTCTCTCTGTGTCGCCCCTCTATTGTGGTGCACCACACGATCTACTCAGGCCTGTCTCCTTTCGCGTCTCATCTCCCCCCTTCCTCGAGCGTCTAGCGTCTCTCGCCCTTCATTGCTCCGTGTTGGCACTTCCCTCGCGCGAAAGTCAACATTGACGTTATCACTCTGAGCCCCCTGTTGCCCCCGACGACTCTCTCTTTCACACGTGTCTCTCTCCCTTGTCCCTCGTCTCAACTGTCCCGCAGCCTCTGGGTCTCTGCTGTCACGAGCTGGCCTCGGGCCCGCCTTCCACTGGTCGCGCCTGAGGGTGGTTCTTGCGAACCTGGTCCGGCCTGTTCCATGACTGGAGATCGGTCTCCCGGTCTCTAGCCTCACTCATCTCACTCTCCCCCCTTGAGTCCCTATCCAGGTGGGCCTGTTCTCGGTCCACCGTGTCCGATGCGGTCTCTGTCTCATGATATGCGACCGTTACTTGCATTCTCGTCGTCACCCCGTCTCTCCTGCAGCGTCGCTCAGCCCGATCTTTGGCTTCCGTAATAGCATCTAACAACTTTGGGTTTGTTCTTTTTTCCTCCTCTTTAGCGCCTTCCACATTGATCTTCAACCTCAGTTCGTCTCCCCCATCGTAGCTGAGCATCACCCTAATCAAGGGCCCTTCCCCAGACATGGGCTTCCAGCGCGTCTGGAGATACCAGTAGCCTGGTCTATAGCCGTGCAGTGCCATGGCCAGACTTTTTTCAGCAAACCCTGTCCCAACTCAGTCCACCGTCCCAAAGTAGTCAGGGCCAAACTGCTCAACGTGCAAAGCAGACACACACTAGCAATCTCCCGTTCGCCCGCTAAGTCCGCCTAGCCTTCTACCTGCAATAAGTTAGTACTCAGCATAGCGCGGTTACTCAGGACTAGCTTGCTAACGCCAACCTCCTTTTCTTCTTATAAAATTTTCGCCTGCCGTGATCCCTGTGTTCTAAACAAGGGATCAGACCAATAAAGCCAATTAATAAAAATAAAGAAAATACTTTATTAGGAGGAAAGAGTTAAAACCAAAGGACAACAGGGTAATTCAAAAGCAATACGCCAACGGTTGTAGGCCTGCCTTTGCGAGAAAAGACTGCTATGCTTAGCGCGTTGGTCCCATAACGGGACACTGACCGACGCTCCCTTCCCTTTAAAGTGAACTATCGGCCTATCTCTTTCGGGTACCCGTGTCCGATGGCAAGGAGGAGGTCCAATACTGTCATCCCGCCTACCCCCGTGTCTCAACCGCTTCAAAACGTAGCGACCACGGGGCATAAAATCGCCGTCCATAC